TCAGAGCTGTCTTAGTCAAGTAAGAGTGATGGATGACTCCAAGACTGTCGAAGGAGTCAGCACCGTTGATCTATGAGTCTGTCCCGTGTTTTCATGGCTGGTATTACATTCATTAATAAAAGGGAAGAATAATCTAGCCACAGGATTATCATCCAGGACTAGGGGAAAAGAAAGTAAGTTTGTCTTTGTTGTTGTTGGTACTGGGGTTTGAACTCTGGGCTCATGGCTGGCGCTCTACTACTTCAGCCACATCTCTGCTTTTGTTTTTCTTTTTGGTTGACTAACTGGAAATAACAATCTTATAGATTGGTCTCTCTGGGTTAGCTCTGAACCTTGATCTCAGATCTCAGCCTCCTGAGTAGCTAGGATTAGAGGCATGAGTCACCAGTGCCTGGCTTTGATCTATCTTTCTTTCTTTCTTTCTTTTCTTCCTTCCTTCCTTCCTTGCTTTCTCTCTCTTTCTTTCTTCTCTCTCTCTCTCTCTTTCTTTCTTTCTTTTTTTTTTTTGTTGGTCATGGGGCTCGAACTCTGAGCCTGGGTGCTGTCCCTGAGCCCTTCAACTCAACTCTACCACTTGAGCCATAGTGTCCGGTTTTCTGGTGGTTAATTGGAGAGAAGCGTCTCATGGACTTTCCTGCCCAGGCTGGCTTTGAACTGCGATCCTTAAATCTCAGCCTCCTGAGTAGCCAGGATGACAGGCGTGAGCCACCAGCGCCTCTGTAACAGGGCAGTTTTCTGAAAGAAGTGTGGAAACATGGAACGTCTATGTTCACAGAGGCTGGTACAGACGGGAGATTCTTCCTTCCACGGCTCTTCCCAGCAGGGGCTGTTTCTGGCTCCAACGCCAAACTCTGCTTTGTGGTGCTGATGTGGACCTGGGTCAGGACTGGCCTGTTGTTCTTTCCAATGGGAAGTCATGTTCTCTGTGTGTGTGTGTGTGTGTGTGTGTGTGAGAGAGAGAGAGAGAGAGAGAGACATACTAGGGTGTGTGTGTGTGTGAGAGAGAGAGAGAGACATACTAGGGTTTGAACTTAGGGCTTGGGTGCTGTTCCTTCGTTTTTCACTCAAGTCTGGCATTCTACCACTTGTGCCACATCTCCACTTCTAGCATTTTCTTTCTTTTTCTTCTTGGTAGTGGTTAGTGGTGGTGAGTTTCATTAATTTTCTTGCCCATGGTGGCCTGGAACTGTGATCCTCAGATCTCAGCCCTCTGAGTAACAGGATTTATAGGAGCGAGGCACTGGTGCCCGGCAAAAGTCATGTTCTTTGTAATACTCCGTTTTTGGAATAGTTAAGAACGGCACAGTCCGCTGGGACAGCAGAGGCCTCCCGGAGCTGGAGCCTCTTCGAGGAGAGGTGCGGGGAAAGGCCACCACAAGAGGTTGTAGAGCTGGGCCAGACGGCCGTGGGCTGGCTGGTCTGGACTCCGGAGGTTCTTTTTTATTGCCACTGTAAATGTGGTCTGCAGGTTCAAGGGCAGGTGGGCTACCGACAGGCCCTCCTGCAGGCAGCACAGCCAGCACGGCCAGCACACACCGCTAAGCTTGAGAGCTCTGCAGAGGCCCCGGGAAGCAAGGCCCGGCACGTGGAGGCTGGAAGGCTGGGGCTGCACACCCCACTCAGAGAATTAAGAATCCCCAGGAACCAGCTCTGAAGGGAAACAATGAAGGAAGAATGCCCTTTTCTGGCTAGCCTCCTGGACGATGGGGGCCTATTGGATGACTCTGTCTCCCCAAGATATCCTAGAGTGCCGGCACATTGGAGGGCCAAGGGCTCCCAGACACCCCCGAAGGGGACACCAGCCTGACTGGGAATGTAACTGGAAAGGAATCAGACCATGTGGGAGGTGTGGGTGTTGCCAGGGAAACCATAGTGCCTTCTTGCTGAAGAGTAACTATAGTCTCACACACAGGCTGGTCCCAGTGGACACAACAGCTCCAGGCCCGCCGCGGGCCTCTCCCCTCGGTGACTTCTCGCTCTGAAGAGCACAGTCCTGTCCAGCAGCAGTGTCTGCAGCCGTGCATCACACACCCCTCAACTAATGCAGTGTGTGTGTGTGTCTCGGGCGGGGGTTGGGGGGAAGGCAGGGGCTTCAACCCCGTCCCCTCACCCCGTCCACTCCAGCCTCACCCCGTCCCCTCACCCCCTGCACTCCAGCGTCACCCCGTCTCGCACTCCCTGCGATCAGCAGTCCAGCCAAGTGTACTCCATTTGTAAGAACCAGGAGAAAAACTAGTCAGCGGGGTTGAGTGAGATGTGACTAGCAGCCAGTGGCGTGAGCAGAATCATGAGTCTGCGATGTATACAAAGGACATGGGACACACTGAGCACATTTAGGAGAAGTCACACGGCAGGCCTAAGGCTGAAACATACAACACCAAGAATGAACACTTCACACGCTAGATGCTGAAACAGAAACACCACTGAAATTGAAAGCATAATTTAAAAAAGTGTAAAAAAAAAAAAACGTCTGGAAAGATAATGACACACGGTGTGAGGTGTGAAAGAGTAACACATTATCTTCCTTTCCGGTAATGAGAGCCACAAAGACAGGAAGAGGGAGCCGAGCAGATTCTCAAAGCTGATGAGAGGTAGGAGCCCCGAAGCCCTCAGAGGCCCCAGGAACCCGGAACAGATTAAAGACAAAAGCCCACATGACGGGCACTCGCTGTAAATTCCTGGAAGCCAGTGATACGGCTCTAGCAGCCGAGGAAAAGAGACACATGACAGACAAAGAAAGAAGAACGAGACACATGCCAGCCCTCCGCAGACGTGCACCAGCTGAGAAACAATGAGACACCATCACACTAAAATCCTGCTGCCTGTGGACAGACGTCCCTCCAAACCCGAGATGAATGACACCTTTGTTAGACAAACAACAGCTAGAGGACGAGTTGACAGCTGGAGCACCAGCTCCGCACAGTACTAGGGGTTCAAGAAGAAGAACCATAGCAAGCACGGAAGCCCAAAACAGACCTGTCAAGGCAAAAATCCTAACAGTGCACTGTGGAGTTCCAACTCCAAAGTGTGAAGAAAGCACCTGAACAAAACTTCCACCGGGCCGTGAGGGGGCCCTGCACCCCATGGGCACACTGGGGTGAAACCAAGAACAACCACGAAGAAATAAAACACACAGCTCAGAAGCCAAAAGGGAAGGCGAAAACTGCATGAGAAAATGCTCAGGATCCAAAAACGTGGGGAAAAGTGAAGACACAAAGAAATAAAAATAACAAATGGAACAAGTAAAAACCAGTAGAAGGACAGTAGATTGAAACCAACTCAATTTTTCTCCCACGTTACACACTAAAATTAACTGGGAATGAAGCAATCCTTTGGCCTGGGAGTATGGCTCAACGGTAGAACCCTCCTAGGAGACCCAGGCCTTGGGTTTGATCCAAACACCATCAGATCAGCCAACCAATCGATCAATCAATCCATCAATCAATCAATCAGTCATAGACCTAAATGTACAAGCTAAAACCACGTAAGATGAAAAGCTCAATATCATCTAAGAACAAAATCAACAAGTTTGGTTCAAAATTTAAAACTTCCGGTCACTGGAAGAGATCGGTAAGAAAGTGAAAAGGAAGTTGTGAACTGGGCTGAGTTTTTACAATGGAGATCTGACAAGGCGCGTGTACAGGGACAGGTACAACTTGAAAGCAACCTAGCAGCCAGCGAGCATGGAAGGTTCAGGCCCCACCTCACGAAAGAGGACTGGTGAGTGGCCAGTAGATGCCTTAGTGGTACGGTCACTGGAGGCTAGGGGACCACGAGTTCAAACCACACCGAACTCTACTGCACACCCATTAACGTGATTGCAGTGAAACTGACTGGCAGTGCCAGGCGCCGGGAGAGGAGGAGTGGGTGTGTGAAATGGCACAGCACCTTGGGAAAGTAGCTGGCAGTTTCTGATAAGGTCAAACACACCTTCACCACCTGACTCAGCCACCCACCTCGACGCATTTGTGAACTTTACTGCACACAGCAGTCTTACTATAGAAAAGCCTGCAAACCAGAAGCAACCTGAACACTCACCCTCAAATGCTAGTAAAACGCCATGGAGTGGGGTGCATCGAAGTGCAAGAAAAAGGAGTCAATCACTGAAGCGTGTGACAACACGGGCAAGCATCAAAACCACCGAGCCGAAAAAAGAGGGAGAAATACAGCCTATGTAATTTCCTTCGTAATAAATGACCCTTTATTTGGTCACTGGGGTTGCACTCAGGGTTTTGTGCATGTTAGGCAGGTACTCTACCATTTGAGCTAGGCCTCTAGCCCTTCTTGCCCTGGTTATTTTTGAGACAGGGTCTCCCCTTTTTTTACTCAGGCCAGCTTGAACCATGATCCTCTGTTTTTGTTTCCCACCATCGTTGGGATGACGGTTGTATACTTTCTTTTTGGCGTGAGACTGGCTTTAAACTTTGATCCTTCACCTCCCAAGTAGCTAGGATTACAGGCAGGAGGCACTGGTGCCTAGTTTATGTGAACTCCTTGAAAAGGGGGGGTCTAATCAGTGGGACCCGAAGGCAGATGGCTGCACAGACAGACTGCAAGGGGCATGAAGAGGTTTTTGAGGAGGTGTCAGCATTCTGTATTTGGAGTTTGGTGACACGGACAGGCACACATATCCATTTAAGTGGGAACACCTCATTGTGCGTAAATCCTACCTTGATAAGAGCAAGTTAACAATCCAAAAGGAAATAACAACCCTAGCACAATAACGTGTCTGACAGGCGAGACAGCTGAGAATGCAGTGGGCTGCTTGCAGCTCCCAGAGAATAGGGCGGTGCTGGCCCAGGGAGACCCCGACCCCCTCCCGAGTCTCAGGGCCAGGGAGGACTCAAGAGCATCCCCCTCCCCCTCACGGGAAGTATCAGATTATGTAATAGCAGCAGGCTGCAGGGTCAGAGGTTTAATGTGTCTATTCCACTGGGGGGGGCGGGGCTTGAACTACCTTTTGTTTTCATTTCATTAAAAAACAAATGACAAGGCCTTACCAGACAGCTGTTTCACGGCCACCGGCCTCACTTTGTAGGGAGTTCTGCAAAGAGAGAGAGAGAGGGGCATGAGACACTGTCAGGACGCGGCGTCTGCCTGCGGAGATAAGCCGAAGCCAGCAAGAATTAGAGCTCAGGAGAGCCCTCCCTCCTGCCTCCCTCCCCACCTCCCTCCTTCTTTCCGCGTTCCTTCCTTGTGCTGGGGATGGAACCCAGGGCTTTGTGTGTGAAAGCATATTCACTACCACCCAGTGCGATTATTAAAACGGTCCATTTCCCTTATAACACTCCTATTTGGCTGATGGAACAAGTTACTATTATTATTATCATTGTCACATCTACCAATCAAAGGTGTGGAGCCGAGGTTCAACCAGCAGCATTCGGCACTGTGGCGAGATCACCCCCCCACACACACACACATGCCGTGAGGCTCATGGTCCAGCAAGCCACGTATCAACGGCAGACAAAAGGCCACTGTCGCCGATGCAGGGACCGCTGGCCAGGAGCTGCGCCGGGACCCCCGGGTCACTGAAGCTGGGGGAGGCCCAGAGGCCAGCCATGCCAGCAGGGCTCACAGCAGCGCGCGCACGTGCGGCCTACTTGGAGAGATGCTTTTACCCAGGAGTTTAGCAAAATTAAACCCGAGAGCTGCAGGGCTCCGGGAGGCGACGCGCACGGGCCAAGCTTACAAGCAGCCCAGCAGCACAAGCGGAGTTCTCCACACGCGCTCATGTTGTACAGAGGAGGCTTTCAGTGCACAGAGCAACGCAGAACACACGAGCCTTCACCCTGGCGAGGGAGCGCGGGACAGCAGAGCGGGACTCCGTCGGAGGTCTCCCGCCCGGGCCCTCCCTAGCTCATCGTCCCTTCTCCACAGGTGCTGGTGATCCACACGCGTCCCCAGCCCCAGGCCCTCCACATTCACAGCAGCGTGACAGCTCAGCACCAACACCTGGCATCTCCTCTTGGGCTGGCACAGGCGGCATCCGCAGCGCTAAGACCGGAGAGCCCCGCGGTCCTTCAGGAGGTGACTGGGCTTGGACAAGGTCACGAGAGTGGAATTTGTGTCCTTCTAAGTGGACCAAAGGACCAGTGTATCCTCTCGCTCTCCTCTCCCTCTCCCTCCCCCCCTGCTCCTCTCCTTTCCTTCACCCCTTCCCTCTGCTTGTGGGAGGCTGAGAGACAGCTGCTCTCAAGCCAGGAAGGGCCTCCTCGGAACTGGACCGTGCTAGCCCCCCGATTTCTCACTTCCAGCCTGCAGAAGGCCTCCGTGTGAGGTTGGGTTAGAGTAGACGCCCTGTGTGTCTCCTTCAGTTGTTATTAAAATGATGAAGACAAATGAGTTCAGATCCTAAGGGTGTCCCTGAAGGAAGAGTGAGCGGGATTCTGCAACAATAAGGCAGGGCAAATCTGAGTGACACCCACAGACTGAACAGCAACCCATAAAGAATAAGAACAAAACTGCATGGCGCTGTGAAGGTGGGCACACACTTCCACGGTGACCTCTTACCTCCCGCACGCGCACGAATCCTACTCGCCTAGAAGACAGAGAAGTGAGCTGACCGTGCGCCTCCCCATCCATCCCTCTGCTCTTCCCCGAGGCCGGGCCCGGCCAGGTAGGCTTTGTTCCTTGGAAAGGACTGTCAGATGTGGTGTCTGGGTCCTGGGGACCAGACAGGCATGCCAGGCGGGCCCTCGTGAGCTTGAAGTGTCCACAGTGACCCACGGCCAAAAGCCGGGGGAGGTCTGGCCGGTGCGCACAGCCACACTGGACTTTGGCCCAGGCCGGGTCTAACCACGAGGCCTCCACTGCCGTCCTCAGTTGGGAGTCCAGAGCGAGGGATGGTGAGGGGAGAGCCGTCTCTGTCCCCTCCTCCGCACTCCCTCCCTCCCCTCCTCAGAACCTCCGCTCCAGGCAGGGCAGCGGCAGGAGGGAAGGACCAGGATCCTGCAGGGCCAAAAGGCTTTTCTTTCTCCTCCTCTTCTTCTTGTCTTCAGGACAGTGACAGGGGAGAGAGAGGAGGGCCAGGAGGTAGGGAGACGGGGGGTGGCCTCCATCTTGGAGCAGGGGCAGAGCCCGTGGACACAGGGACTCTTCAGCTGCTACAACACGGTGACTGCGGTCTGTCCCAATGGCACCATTCCCGCTCCACCGGCTGTGCAGGACCGCAGGGCAGAACCACTGAGCACGGCACGCCGGAATGGGTGTGGAACTGGACACCAGCCCCTCAGCAAAGTCCAGGCAGCTGTGGAACCTTCCAGGTCCTTGGGCCAGCACTCCCGGGGCTGCATCGTGTACCTGCTCAAGATTAGGCTTGGCTCCTGGTTCCCTAATGCCCTGGGCACTGAACCTGGTGACGCTTCCCAAGCCTTGGCCTGGCTCCACACACTCTCCTCTCCACCCAGACGTAGCTACACCTTCATCGTTCTCTTCTCCACATCACACGTGCAAAGCCCTCCCCACCCTGGAGGGACCGACTGGCCTTGGCCCTGTAGCCTGTGACTTTCTCTTGGCCCTGTAGCCCGTGGCTTTCTCCTGGCCCTGTAGCCCGTGGCTTTCTCCTGGCCCTGTAGCCCGTGGCTTTCTCCTGGCCCTGTAGCCCGTG